TCAAAGCAGACATTTTTGGGGAGGGGTTACAATACAACAGTACCTATAAGAAATTTAAATGTGGGATAGACTGCAGGGGGCAGAGATGCAGGAGTCAGGGCATGTGCAGGGAAAAAGGGATAGGCTCTGTTTAGAGAGGACAAAGGGAGCAGAAACAATCTCCCCCAGAGATTTGTAGTAGTGTGCCCTGTTGTTTCACTTAATGGAGCAAGAGGAAAGCTCATACTGTGGATCACTCGCTCCCCAGCCCCTGGGAGGAAGAGGAATTAAGGAAGGCACACTGTGCACTTTCTTCTCACACTTATACCAGTACAAATCCTTGGGAGACACCACCATTTACCTCCCTTCTGTTCAGAAGAGCTGACCATTTATTTCTACCCTGTTTTCTGTCCTCGGCAGTTGCTGATCCAAGAGGAGCTTCCCTCTCATCTGTGGACTCATTTTTTAGTTAGAAGAACCTTTGGTGAGGGTCCTTGTCAATAGCTCTCTCCAAGTTCAAATACCCTGTATGCAATGCATTACCTTTCCTTGTCCACCTTTGACAACACCCTCGAGGAATTCCAGTAGATTGCTTTTCACAAAAGAAAAGCCCAGTATTGACTCTTTCCAAGAAATCAGGATTAACTATGGAAGTTAGAGACTTGACTATCCAATAAGCAAATCCTTATTTGATAGTTCAGTAACAACCCGGACATTATAATCAAACCAGCTGACAAAGGGGGTGCTGTGGTCATTATGAATAAGTCCGACTATAACCAGGAGGCAATGAGACAACTCTCCACCACCACATTTTACAAACCTTTCTCCTCTGATCCCACCTCAGAATACCAAAAGAAACTACACTGTCTCCTTAATGACCTCCCTACATCTACTCAGGACCAAATCCACACAAACACCTTCTGAACCCCGACCAGGATTGTTCTGCTTCCCAAAAGCCATAAACTGGGATGCCCCAGACATCCCATCTCAGGTATCAGCACGCTCACTGCTGGATTATTCAGCTATGTAGACTCTCTTCTCAAACCCTGCGCAACCAACACTCCCAGCTATCTCCGAGATACTACTGATCAGGCCAAGACAAGCAGGCAGAAATGGAAAACAGGATCAGTCCCAGACAAGCAGGCAGGTAACAGATAAGATTGAAAGCTATTAGAAACATGATTACAAGCAATTAGAAACACTATCTGGCAGCAGACCTATGCAACTTTGTTCTAACCTACAATTATTTCCAGTTTCAGGACAACTTATACCTCCAGATCAGTGGCACAGCCATGGGTACACGCATGGCCCCACAGTACGCTAACATCTTTATGGCTGACTTAGAACAACATTTCCTTACATCCTGTCCCCTTTTACTCCTTCTCTACTTACGCTACATCGATGACATCTTTATGATCTGGACCCACGGCCAAGAGACACTGGAGACATTCCACAGAGATTTTAACAACCTACACCCCACCATCACTCTCAGCCTGGACCGTTCTACACAAGAGATCCATTTCCTGGATACCACAGTATAAATCACCAATGGTAAATTAGACACCATGCTCTACAGAAAACCCACTGACTCCTACAGTTACCTACATGCCTCCAGCTCCCATCCAGAGTACACCATACGATCCATCATCTATAGCCAAGCCCTTAGATACAACTGTATCTGCTCTAATCCCACTGACAGAGGCCAGAAACTTTAGGATCTCTACCAAGCATTTATAAACCTCAATTACCCACCTGGAGAAATAAAAAAACAAGTTGCAAGAGCCAGATGAATACCCAGAAACCATCTACTTCAAGACAGACCCAAGAAAAACCAACAATAGAACACCACTTGTCATCACCTATAGACCCCCCAACTTAAACCCGTCCCACACATTATCAATAAACTACAACCTATACTAGAACAGGATACTACACTCTAAGAGGCTCTGGGAGACAGACCCATAGTCTCCTATAGACAACCACCTAACCTCAGGTGGATTCTTTCCAACAACCACAGGACACACCACACTAATACCAACCCTGGAACTTTTCCTTGCAACAAACCCCGTTGCCAGCTTTGACCACAAATTCACTCTGCTGACACCATTATTGGACCTAACCAATTCAGTTATAAGATCAAGAACACATTCC